GCAATGATGATGAGGGAGGGGGGGGGAGCAGGGGCGTTGGGGGGGGGGGCGTGGACCTGACCCTGAAGCTGTTCAAATCTCCGACTGCAACAGGAAAAGACGACATGGAAATGTGTGAGCTGAGTCTGGAGGAGACGGGTCTGTCCAGGAAACGTGGAGCTGAGATTCTGCCGCGGCAGTTTGAGGAAATCTGGGAACGCTGCGGGGGGGTGCAGTACCTGCGCAGCGCCATCGAGAGTCGTCAGGCCCGGCCCACCTACGCTACAGCCATGCTGCAGAGCATGTACAAGTGAGACTGTGGCCACGCCCACCGCAGTAGGCGGAGCTCCTCCCACAAACACAGAGACTGACTTAGCAGGTACTGACACAGGTGGCGCTGTAGCCCAACTACACCAGGACAGCAGCCATCGCTACGTTTGTTTGGTTTTTTTTTTTCTTTAGGCCTTTAGCACTTTTCAGTTCCTGGAGGTGGGGGTGGTTCTCTGCAGTGGGCGGAGCTCTCTCGGGGGTGGGCGGGGCTTCTGGTCTCTATGCAGTCAAAATCGTTAACGTTCTTTTTTTTTTGTTTTCCCAGAATGTGTTAGTTTGAATGACGAGGCCTTAACGTTAACAGGGTTTGATTTACACCACCGCCAACGGGGGGGGGGGGGGAGAGGGCTCCCACAGCGCCCCCTACCCACAGAACTCCAATGTAATTCCACACTCTCACTGTGTGTTCCTCCTGAACTGTAGAAGTGAGTTTTCCCATCATTCCTGCAGGTTGAATTCCTAACGTTCCTGACGTTCCTAACGTTCCTAACGTTCTCGTTGACCTCCTAACGGTACTTGATTTATTCTCATGTCGTTGTTTTTTTTTTTACCACCGTGATTTAAAGGGATAGTTCAGGGTTTGACTACAAATGGTACGATTACTGTGCTGTGTGTGCCCCCTGCTGGTGGACTCAGCCCATCACTGAGTTTTAGTCATAGAGAAAATCAGTGTAAGTTCACTTGGTCCACTGCTGCCCCCTGTGGTCAGATTTCAAACAGTGACGGAAGCTCTGAAAGATCAAATCACTGCTTCTCTCTATGGTCTTCGGTACCAGATTCTACTGGACACTGGTTCTAGCAGCAGGGGGCGCTCAGTGCATTCAGAGCTGCTTATATTCACACCCAGGGGTTCTGGTGTTGGACTGGGTTCTGTTGAGAACACTAATGATTTAGTTTACTGTTTTTTATGGATCAATAATGAAAATGTGAAGAATTTAGTTTTGACGTAAATTCGTCGACAGACGTTGATTCATTTCCGATCTTCAGATTCATTTCTTTTCTTCGTCTGCGTTTGTTGTTTTGGTCAAAATCACGTGATTTAGATGGAAACTGATTTCTAAAGGTGGGGGCGCTTCATCCACACTGGACGTCATGTGACAGGTGTCTGTTGGTCATTTTGACTAAGTGATAAAGTTAAAACTTAGTTTCTGAAAACTAGTTACCAACGTTTTTACCCATGAGCCTTAGCAGCAGGTCACTTCCTCTTCCAACCAATCGCGTCGTGTCACCACTGATCGTCAGGGCAGTGGACAGATTAGCACAGTTAGCATGTCTTCAAAGTTAGATATGGTGTGCTAACATTTCCTTTGTCCCAGTATTTTGTGTTAGCATGTTGACGTTAGCCGTCATCACTCTGAGCTGCGACCTGTATTTTTGCTTTGATTCCGTTTTTTGACCTTTCCTGAAGAAGCTCCGCCTTGTTCTTTTTCTAATGGTTGATTTAACACTAAATAAATTCTTTTCATGTTTGTCTCACCTGCTCGTGTTTGACTTTGTCGTGGATGCTAACACCACAGGGCTAACATCTGTAAATCCAAACCAAGTAAAGATGAAGCTCCGCCCCCTCGGTCCACAGTTTGAAGTTAAACCAAAACAACAAAAGTTTTATATTGACATCAACTTTGCAGCAGAAACAGGCGTTAGCGAGCTAGCATCTTTTTGTCATTTACAATGTGACGGCAGGGGTTAAATATTCAAAACAAAAAAATCTAAATAAAGAAAAATGTTTTAAATTGTTTTTTCAGCTCTACTCAACACAGTGTGCTATGCTAGACCTGGTTAGCATCAACAAAAATATTAGCATCCTGCCCTTTGAAGATTACGCTTAAATTACGCTACTTGGCTAACACGTAGCTGAAGACACAAGAACATCCAAATGTCAACGTCTCCGAGAGTGAAGCTAACAACCGACCGAACAACCACAAATAAAATCCATTGAAATTGGTGTCCTTTCCTGAAGGGGGCACTGTCTCAGTGTCTGTCCTTTGGTGAGTCCTTGTCCCTGACTGTCGAGACATCACGTCTGCTGCGGAGAGGAGAAAAAAAAAATCCCTGTGGAGTTTTGGTACAGACCTGACGGTTCGACAGAAACAGGAAGTGGATCTCAGGATATTAATGTGGGTTCTGCTAATTTATGTGTTTATCCAATCAGCATCGAGCTGAGCTTCAACAGGGTTTAATACACTCCAGGTCTACACGGAGGTCTGCGGAGAACCTGGGATCGGACCGTGGTCAACCGCTGGTTCTGGTCCCCACAGCTAGCTTAAAGTTAGCATTAAGAAGGTGAGCTGGTAGCTAAGAGGCTAGCTGTGTGTTCTATGGCACTATATCTACAATGTTAACAAAATGTTTTTGGCATTAAAACTAGGTACAAGTTGTCACCTACCTGCAGAGGGCACCAGTTCCTGGAACTATTTGTCAGGTTCCAGTGCTGCAGAGGTCTGGCTCCAGGACACACAGACTCTGACAGGGAAGACCGTCCAAGGACCCAAATCCTGGATCACAAACGCACCGAGCTTCTCCGCTCTGACGGTCGACCAGGCAGCGGGAAAACGGGTCACATGACAGGAACTTACAGGGGTCGCCTAGGTCAGCTGTGAGGACACAAAGAAACCCGGATGATGTCACAGTGATGTCACAGCGACGTCTCTGCCTGGGCTTCAAATGAGGAAAATTAGCTTCAGTCGTGACTTAGCGTTGGCCAAATGTTCCAGAGAGTTCCACCAGGGTGTAGTACAGACAAGCTAACGCTAATGAAAGAATGGCTAAACGTTAGCTAGGTTTGGATGTTAAATGTTGTCCCGGTACTTTTTTGGTGACACGTAGCTAACGGTTCCTAGTTGAAGTAATTCTATGAGCCCTCTTTCATGGTACTGTTTGGAGGAACAAGGCACCGATGCTGCCCTGAAGCCAGAACCTCTGTGTCCACCTGTTTGGGTCTCAGTGACACCAGAAGCTGTGGTTCTGGTCCCTGGTTCTGGACTGGTTCTGGTACCTGGTTCTGGACTGGTTCTGGTACCTGGTTCTGGTACCTGGTCCTGGTACCTGGTTCTATGTCCAGAGAAGTGGAGTCAATGTGGATGTGCTGGTTTTTGGTGGCACTGGTGCAGAACTCCTCCAGGACACAGTGGACCGCCTCGGTCACGTTGTACGGCACCGACCTGGAGAACTTGATCCTGCTGTTGACCACCACGCTGCCTCTCCTGAAGTTCAGGATCTCCAGGTTCCTGAAGCCGCTCAGGTTGGCCTGAAGGTACGGCAGCAGCTGCAAGAGAAAAACAGAGCAGTTTGTCCTCCAGGTCCACCCTGGTCCAGGTCCACCCTGGTCCAGGTCCACCCTGGTCCACCCTGGAGGTGAGATCAGCCGAGACGGTTCCGCTCCCCGAGAACCGGCGTGTCTGACTTTGAACCCTGTCTAAACCAGCGACGAAGGAACGCGGTCAAAGAAAAATCACATTTTCAACGGTACTAGGTGTAGGAGGGACGGGGGTCAAAGGTGACGGAGATGTGTGCGCCCCCTGTTGCTGGAACCTCAGGCAGAAAGAACCTGTTTTATCATGTCAACAACACCAAACCTCTGCTGCCTCCTGTGGTCAGTCGGTGTCACTGCAGTAAATGTGTTAATTCATCTGGAACTCATTAGAACAACAATGAGGTCGGTGTGGTGGAATACGTGGTTCACAAGCCTCACCATGTCCAGGAAGGTGTTCTCCAGGGACTGGTACTCCACCGAGGTCTTGTTGAAAAGATCTTCAGAGAAGTTCATGTTTGTGACCCTCAGACTAAAGAAGACCACCAGCTCATGGCCGTGGACGGCCGTGGTCATGGTGGGCGTGGTCAGATATCTCAGTGTGGGAGTCGGAGCGGTGACGCCCTCCTCTTCCTGCACCTCCTCCCCCTCGTCACCTGTCACGGGAAAGGCACCGCTCTCGTCCAGAAGACCATCATGTTCCAGTTCTACTGCCAGGTCTTGGACCGTCTGGTCCAGGTCCAGGTCTTGGACCGTCGGGTCCAGGGCCAGGTCCAGGGCTTGGACCCTCGGGGCCAGGTCTTTGGCCGTCC